TATAACTCGAAAATGGCGAGGTCAAGCATCAAAATTAAAATTTAAATCCTCCTCTACAAGACATCAGAGAGTATCTGGGATTAGTTTATTTTAAAGCGATTTCAACCCTGTTTTTCAGGTAAACATTAGCGAACTTTGAATTTTCGCAGACTGTACTAGGGAGTCGGTTATTATGGAGGTATGGAACAACGACCGTGACATATGTGAACTGCTAGACCATCTCAAATCATAGAATTTATGAATGGCCTCCGCTAGTGCCATCTCTGAAACAGATGTTACATTAAGGGTGGATTTCACAAGGATTGTCAAATCAACAGTCCGTTATTCTCCACCTATAGGCTAACAGTCCGTCAAATACAGCGAATGAGCTTCAAGTTCCAATCAACAAATTTTAGCAACCAATAGCTACGAAATGTTGAAAGCAAAATACTGACAAAGTATGAGATCACAGCTTGTCATTGAAACATCACCAGCTTATTGAATATTAAGAAATTACATATAATTTGGTCAAAATTTAAAAAAGTGTTCAATTTTTGAATAAAATTCATGTTTTTATTTAATATTGTCGATTGTTTATTCATGTTTAAATTATCTTCAATTGATATGCGATTTTACTGATTCAACATCACCTACAGTGTGTTTTTTCCTATAAACCCCTTGCAGATAGCACCTACTTCATTGCAGGCTCTACCAAAAATTTCACAGATATTGCTCGTTTCCAAACATTCATTCATTTACTTGCCGTTCGTTCATCAGGACCAGTATAGTTCCGTCGATTGATATACCCACAAAACCATTCAGAATTTTTTATATTCATACATCCATAGTCAAATATTTTTTTGGTTGTTCCCAAAATCATTGCACAACACTTGAAAAAATGCAAATGAAAATTTAAAATTATTTCCATGACGCCGCAAAATAGTTCCGTCGGTACCTCGGGTTATACATTTTGACAGTAGGGATGTTCGATACGATCCTATATTTAGAAGTATCGATACTGTTGCTTCCCATACCCGATATTTTGGATCGATACTTTTATACGCACACTTGGGTGCATCGATACATTTCACGAGTATCGTCATCTTTCGATCCGGGCCGTGACAGAAAGAGTGACTAACTTCAGATTACTTTTCTTCTTTGTTTCCTTCCGCTGGATATCGATAATTTTATTCCAATATTTTAGAGTATCGATACTTCCAAAAACGCTTAAAATCGATACATAACGATACTTTTCATGAATCTAAACATCCCTTGTCGTTCTTGTCAACTGGGCTGCAGGGTGCGGTCTTGCCTTTACTATCTTACATTGTGTTAAAATCTTATCATAAATAAAAGCGTCAAATGAAATATTGAGGAATATGAACGGATATGCATAGAATTTAGAATATAAATTTATATTGCAAATTTCAGATTGTTTATGCATGAACTTGAACCGGATGTTTCGGTATTTATACCGAAAAGAGAATATTTACCGATAACGTCATTCTCCAAGATTTTTCAAAATAATTTAAATATTTCTATACTTTCCGAAAAAGAGCTGAAACCAAAAATAAAGCTAAAAGTTAATTTTATGTAGTCTTCATAGTTTTATGCCCCACATCAATCATACGTATGCATACAGACTCAGGCAGTCGGACACATGAGAGGCGTAGATTTGGGTTGCCTATGATGACGAACGCACATCCTCATCCCTTACTCCGCTTGCCCTGAATTGATTTTTGTGCATACAAAAGATACAGACTGGTAGATTACCGTCATTACCTAATCACCGGACAAGCAATAAAGAAACTGAAACCTGTCTGTTCAAAATAAATATTTAATTAAAATGAGAGGTAAATTCAGGGGTAAAACAGAAAAATATTCACAATCCCATAAGCAAGAATCGAAAAAGGGGTTTCCAGAATGGTTTGCAAAGTACTTTGAAAGAGCGACCAGTATACATATTGTAGAAGTTGTAATATAGAACTATGCCCTCAAAAACATTTTGTGAGCGCGGACAATACAATAACAGACGTTTTGCATGACTCAAAGGTCCTTGATCTACCACTGATCTTGGGACGGCATTAACCTTATACCGAACTTAACGACACTATTTACCGACTCCGTTTTTTTCCGGTTCGGCAACACTGCAGATCACTTTAAAGGCAATTGATATCCCAGACGTGTTATAATAATAGAAATAATAAGAAAATGTAACAATGTTTGGAGATATATTTTGATGTAACAAAAGATGATAAACCAGATGGAATACGTTTTACATCCTTTTTTTTACTAAATAACAAAAATCGGTACATTTCTACAGGTACGTATTATGACACCCTGTAAGTGATATACAGACAAAACTAGATTTCCATGCATGAACAGTCGTCAAAAACAGTGAAAATACCCTACTAAATGCCTATAATAGCTAGAAAATCGACCTATGATTTCTCTCATTTTCATTGGTCCATTTAAATAACTGACCGTCTTTTGTGAAATGATAAAAATTTGAAATTCTATGAAAGTTATCCTAATTCTAAAGCACAAAGACATAATATTACATCTATAATGTACCCTTATTTATAAGGCAACCGTTTATCACGACTTTATTCAACATTTTAATAGAAATCACTGATATTCGGAGAGCTTTGACAGCTCCTGTCAAATTGCATTTCGATAAGGTATTTTCCTATTGGTCCAACCTACCGTCAAATATCAATGTTGGTGAAATTGGCCCTAAGTCAACCACGACGTTTAGGCAACCCAAAAAGCTACTAGAAGTGAACGATACCTGGTATATGGTAGAAACAAAGGCAATCACGATTATCCCATTGCCTTTGGCAATAGCTATGGATTTCATTTTGCAGTTACGCAATAAGAATTCAAGAATTAAGTAATATGAGGTTTCTCGAAAACCACTATATGCCAAAAACTAATCAGTTAAGACTTTTAATCGTACAAGCGGGACATGAGGAAATCGTAGTGGTTCTGAAAAGCTTTTAAAGTGGCAAAAAAACTTAAATTCGAATCAACCAACGTTAATTCGATTTCTCATCCGGGCTTTGACTCATGAGGAGCGAGGCCAACAAACGTGTGATGCAACTAAAATGTTTGTGTTGCCGCATCCACTTCACAAATTCTACTCTAGCTTAACTCGCGCGCCGATCTAGCGTACAGTGACGTACTGAAATGTAAATAGTTTGACCAAAAATAGAATAGAAATTTATTATCTCAACTCCTGCTGCGTTGGTATGATGGATATGTTATGGACAAACACGATAAATATGCGTTAACGATAATGGCCGAGCATTGCGTCTTTGTTCGGTCATTGGCGATAATAGTCAAGACGGTCTGGGCAATACGTATATAAGAATAAATAGATGAAAACAAAATAAGAAACTAAGAAAACCTACATCCTGGAGTTGACATCAAAGTCTTTAATTTTTTGTATTTCTTAAGCCGACGCCCCGTACTATCAGAATAGTGGGTTGTATAATAAATTTTGTTTAAACTTCTCTCTCTCGCTCAATCACCAGTGCATCTGAAGGTAATATAAAAACAATCACATATAGTAACATAACCTAGTTTTCCACTACAAAGATGGGCAATAATGTCCAACCTATAAAAGGTGTTCCATCTACTGATTCTTTTTTCAACTACCATTTTTTACATGTTAAATGTGTCAGCTGCCATGTGGTTAGCACATATGAACTCTCAAAGGTCTGGCATTTGTAATTATGGATTCTTTAACAACGCAAGAACGCATTTTGGTCGTCCAAAAATATTACGAAAACGGACGATCTTTAAAAAGTACTTTTCGCAAACTTGGTGATGAATTTGGTCGACATAATCGTCCCGCAGAGCGTGAAATTCGGTGGATTATCAAACGTTTCGAGAAAACTGGCTCAGCTGAAGGTCGTAGAACATATCAAAATATCCCTTCGGTACGTACATGTGAATCAGTGGCCGCTGACCAATTTCGATAAGACACCGTAAGAATTGACCATCAGGCCAACAACATTATGGAGGATTTTGCATGTTGCTCTCCACCTATACCCATACAAGATCCAACTAACTCAACAATTGAAGCCAGCGGACCATCAGCAACGGCGTATTTTTGTTAATTGGATGCTTGAAAAAGGAGAGAGATTTTCGGCAAAAATCATCTTTTCAGACGAGGAACATTTTTACCTCAGTGGACACGCAAATAAACAAGCGGGTTCCATGAGGTTGTTCATGTCATGTCCATGATCAAAAAGTAACTGTTTGGTGCGGGTTATGGGCTGGTGGCTGGTTCTTTTTCAAGGATGAAGAAGAAAAAGCCGTTACGGTCACCGCCGAACGTTATCGTTTGGTTCCAGCAAGACGGTGCAACTTCGCACACAGCTCGCCAGACAATCCAGTTATTGGCTGAGAAATTTCCAAATCGCATTATTTCGAAAAATTCCGACGTGAATTGGCCTCGAAGATCGTGCGACTTAACGCGACTGGACTATTTTCTCTGGGGATTTCTGAAAAGTAAAGTGTACGCGACTGCCCCACGCACGCTTCAAGACCTTAAGCACAATATTCGCACCAAAATTGCGGCCGTGGACCCGCTAATACTGCAAAAAGTCATCGAACATTTTGATGTTCGGATGATGGCATGTCAACGGAGCCGCGGTGGACATACATGCGATGTTATATTCCATACATAAATGGCAAAGACCGACCTACAATTTTCAATAAAGAGTTCGGTTTCTCACTCATAAAAAGTGTTATTTATTTTAGATTAAAAAAAGAAGGAACGGATGGTACACCCTATACTATACTGTAATTGAGCGGTTAATTATTAGGGTTTATCGATTGCCCGCAACACATACACACATACGTGAACTCAATCACTGAACAACCAGTATCATAACCATGATAAACTTACCGTAATTATTAGCCTTGGAGAAAGGCCATGGCCTAATATGTCTATTTACATATCGTTCTTGAACTCACCACTATAAATCTGCGTTTGTGACTGTGACCATATTCTAACGTACCTAGAACAAAATTATAATTAGATGCTAATTTAATTTTTATATTTAGTACAATTACAATTATAAGTATATGAATTATATATTACTATTGACAGTACAGATTTCTGCAATCGATACTCAATGTTTCCAAGGCATAGGGCAAACATTTGAGGCGTAATTCTTTGGTCCATTGTATAATTATTTCCTAAAACCACTTCGTTTCGAAAATACAAGGAAAACTTTTTCTAGAACAATTATATTTATTAGCCAAGAATAACAAACCATTTTTGTGAGCAGTGAAATAATGTGGATGGATGAGGGGGAAATGTTGGAGGCAAGCACATTTTGATATAACCTTAACAAGATATTAGCCACCATGACGAATTACTCCGAGCTCTGGAGTGGTGGATACATGACGGATGATTTAGGGGTTTTAGTAGGTGTAATGCATCAAGAATCTCTCTCATCGGGTGGGTAAGATCGATGAAATAGAGAGAACAATTAGCCAAGCTTTCTCCTGTAACATCGGCTTTTCTGTACAATTTTGGAGCTCTAGGATTTGTCCCCCTTAGAAAATATGCTAGCTCTTGCTCTTCAAACGGTTTCGGAGATCACTAGGCTTTCACTCGAAGCTCTCATCTCCTGATAACAATTTCTGCGGACGCACATGATCGAAACTATCGAAATATCGCGCGGATGACGATGGACGGTTCACATCCACAGCAGACGAGCAGCGGCAGCTAAGTCCGACACACAATATGTATCAGCCTGATCACAAAGCACGTGATAGTTAAAAATATTTTTCCATAATTGAAGTCTTAAGCAGGAATGTAAGGGGAAACCAATGATGAGTAAAATATGTCTAATAGACTCGTAGAATTACTGGGTCTTCCGGCGTTAGTAACAACAAGGAAAATCACAAATCTTTTGTCGACAATTCAAAACTAATATTAAACAAGAACCCTGGGGACAATTATACTCTATAAATAAGGCAAGGCAACGGGACTGTTCATAGAGAAAATAAAAAAACTAATAGATATTAGTACCAATAAAGTAATAATTAGTCACAAAGAGAAAAGCAGAAATGCCTGGATCACCGAAGGATTAATAACACCGACAACAGAAAAAGAAAGACTGTACCTGTATAAAGTGATGAAACTAACGCCAACTACAGGAAATATCGACTGCTGCAACCAATGTAAAAATAAATTTATAGAGCTTGCAAGGCACACCAAACGAAAACATTTACTAAATAAATTGAATAATAACTTAAATGATCCTAAGCGGTTTTGGACAACTATTGATGAAATTAATGGAAAAACAAAATTTAAAAAGAGTGTCACTGAGTTAAATACAATATCGGGAACAGTATTAAAAAATACACAACAAATATGCGATGAATTTGTACAATTTTTCACTGACATAGGCGACATAGGTGTGGTATCCCACAAGGAACTGTCTCAGGTGCACTGTTATTCAATATATATTTAAATGATATTTTCCAAACTAATTGTGTTGGCAAATAACCAGTTTTGCAGATGATACTGCAATATTATATGAAGGCACTGACTGGTCTGTTTTAAAAAGTATAATTGAAAATGATTTTATCAAAATTATTAGGTGGTTTAATAGTAGAAAATTAAGCATTAACTATTCTAAAACACATTTTTCACAAGTTGGATCTTATGCTAGACATTTGCCAAATTACACAAATTTTTCCTTCAACATTAATGATCAAAAAATGCAAATTAATAGTGCCCAGCATAAAATACCTTGAAGTGGTCTTGGGATCCTCACTTAAGTTGGGACATCCATGTCAATTATATTTCAAAGAAAGTTAGATTTGTATCCTACAAAATTAAATACCTTGCGAATATATTGACAGAAAAATATCTTCGAACGTTATACCCTGCACTGATTGAGCCTCATCTCACATATGGTATATTAGCATGGGGAGTTGCATGTTCCTCACAAATCTATTATTTGAATGTTTTTCAAAAAAGTATTCTAAAAATGATGTTAAAAAAAACCGAAACTTTATCCCACTGACAAATTATACGCAGATGTTCGAATTTATAATATAAAACAGCTTTATTTCTTATACATAAATCTATAATGCAGCGGTCATATCTCTATTTAGCGCCAAAATCTCATGAAATTATACCTAAAGACTTTACGTTTCGGAAATTGTTTCAAAAGAAATTTAAAAAAGTGGCTACATTCTATATCTAGGATTGAAATTCATAAACTCATAAATACGAAAATCAAGTAAATACATAATCTACTGTGGCTAATTTTTGTCCTTTTTTGTCATTTGCATTCTATAGTTGCAACTTAAAATAACTGGTCCATGTACAGGCAATGCCTTCTTTTGGGCCTGTTTTGATTTTATATTTATTTACTCATGTTGTTTGGTCTCTTTGTATATTGAGTGAATGAATATTATTATTATAAGTATACCACCATAAAAAAATTGAGACAGTCCCTCCCCGATCCCATACAATCCCCAATAATTTTTTTCGGAAAATGATCAGGAGCGTCTAAAACGTCAAAAAACGAATTTTGAGTGATTTAATTTTTTTTTCGTCTATAACCGAAAGCGCCGCCGCCACTAGACCGACTTTTAAAAACCATAAATCTTTTACATCCTTGGAACCTTTTGTAGAAATTTCAGACAAACCGATGGATATGACAAACATCGTTTTTTGTTATGACAATACTTCCCCACCAGTGGCGTAGGAAGTAAAAAGCCAGGCCGAGCTATAAATTGGCTCGATATCCATAGTAATATATTTCAAGCCGCTGTGCTTTCCGCCGCATCTGGTACTGCTACTAATGGTCTCCAATTGCCTTTTTAAGTTGCGGCGCGGATTTCAAAGACCATCGGACGGACTAAGGCCGGCCCCTTTTAATAGCTTTCGCCAGAAGAGTGGATAGTGAAAATACACGTTGAATTAGGATAACCCTCAGCCGGTCGGATAAAGGCTGCCTGCTCCGCAGTGGTTTTGCCTCGGATGGGGGACGTTTCGATATACTTCGAGAACCCTTCGGCAGAACCTGTTATTCCCTGTTATTTTCATTGCTTCACTCTGCAAATTACGAGCGTTTCCCAACTTGCATTCTATTGAAATTACAGTACGGTACAGTAAGGATCGAAAATGATGTAGAATGGCTGGCAGGCAGAATTCAATGCACATGCAGAGATAGGACCGCTGGACTTGTGCGTTTACACGCCTATTTACATTGTGCTCCTTGTGCTATACTAGCAGTGGCCACCGTGTAAGCACAGCCACTAGTCACTGCAGCCACCAACGCAAGTTAATCTCAAGGAGCACGGGATAAATGGGTTGGTGTTACGCCATATCTTAATACATACAGAGCACAGATCAATATGACTGTCTGAAGATTTTGTTTTGTTTTGAATTAGAACAAATACAACAGTTCATGTTCCTTAAAGTAGAGCAATCTGTAGTCATGAGTAGCTCCGGTCGTATGGATGAAAAAGATTACTGATATTTCGCAAGCTATGCTTTAGCCCAGAGTTCCCAAAACTTTTTTGTGTCGTAGAACCCTTGCCATGTTTTTCCGTGTTGGGTAGACCCCCTACTTACCTGATATTGATTTCCTGTAAATTTCTAACTGTAGTGAAGTTTAGTGTTACAAACTTAAAGTAAAAACACATATTAATTTATACATTTATTAATTGAATTTAAATTAAAACTACTCAAAATAAAATTTTGTATCTGTTATGTAAAATATACGTAACATTAAATAAACAGGTGTCTGACCAATAAGTGCCTGCATTGGGAATAAGAGCCCGCATTGAAAAAAAATAAGAGTGATAAAATAAAAAAAACGTGAAAAATAATTAAAAAAAAAGTTTTTTACTTAAAATAGTACAATAAGCGAGTTCGTTCATTAATTATAACATAGACGTATGTTCTACAATAATTTCACTGTTAGTTTGACTAAATTCCGCTTCTTATACGTTTAGGTTATCTAAAAATAGGCAAAAAATTAACGAATTTTAGTGTGTACCTATCCTTGAATTTTCAGAATAATTAAAAAAAAAAATTCTATAAAGGGGGGTTCTTTAAAAAAATCAATGCGAGCACTTATTCCCAATGCGGGCATTTATTGGTCAGACACCAATAAACATAAAATAAATTATAAATAAAATAACACAAGCAATAAGTCAATATTTTTAGTGAGAAGGATTAACCTGATGCTTTAATAATAAATTATCAAAATCTAGCGTCAATTTTGTAACGGTTAATCTTAAATCTGCTCGGCTAATGATGTCCAGTCTGTTTCTTTTTTTCGTTAGGAGATTGGTAACAGCGCTGAACCCCCTTTCCACTAGGTATGACAAAGAAAAGGAAATTAAAAATTTCCTCGCTATATTCCATAATACGGGATAAGTAACGGGTATGTTGTTTTGCAGCCAGAATTGCTGATATCCGTTTTTAAACTGAACCTTAAGTTCTTCGTTTGTACTTAGTTCAGTCAGTTCCTCTTGTATTATGACATTCGCTTCTTCTACGTCACCATATGGATTAATTATCCACGGTGGTATTACCATAGTCAAAATATCCTCAAACCTAGATTCAAAATCTGAATAGAGGGCATTTAAATGTTGAACGTAAGTTGAAACGTCGTCCTCCTGACAGCTTGACTCTGACAAATTGGGGAACAGAAAATTCGCCCCGTCCAATATTTTGCTTCATTAGTTTAACTCTGGCAGGAAACACTGATAAGATGGACTTTGTTTTAATCAAATTTAAACTGTCGCCTTGTAATTGCAAATTAACCATATTAAATTTTGTAAACAAATCTGGTAAATAGGCGATGTCTGTTTTCCTCTTCATTAAATTTTCTTTTAAAATTTTATCTTTAGTATCCAGAAATTCTAAAATTGTCTCAAAAAGTGCAAAAAATCTTGTCAAACATAAGCCTTTCGACAGCCAGCGTACTTCAGTGTGAAGGAGTAATTGATGAAAGTGTTCGTCATTTTCTTCACACAACTGCGCAAATAACCGCGTATTCAACGCGTTGCTTCGGATTCGGTTTACTGCATCAATGACTAAATGAAGTGATTCATGCAATCGAACACTCAAATTTTTAGCAACTAAATGTCGTCGATCGATGACGCAATATATTGCTAACACCCCTGACACATTTTGTTTTAAATAGCTTATAAATCCACGATAACGTCCAACCATGGCAGGTGCTCCATCTGTAGCTACTGATATTATATTTGATAAAGGAATTGCTTTTTCAATGAAGTAATCCTTTAAAACATGGAATATTGATTCACCTTTCGTGTCGGTTATCAAAGTTCTTGCGAATAGCAGTTCTTCGTAGATTTCTTGATTCATAATAAAACGAACATATGCCAATAATAATGCTGCATTATCAGGTAAAGTTGACTCGTCCAGTTGTATAGAGAAATGGGTCGTTTGCAAATAATTACATAAGAAGCTTTCAATATCAGAACTCATTTCATCAATACGTCTTTCAACAGTATTGTTGCTTAAGGGAATTCTTTCAATGATATCACATGCAGGTTTGTGTAAAACAGTTTTTAAAACCTCTTCAACGGCTGGCAAAATGAACTTCTCTGCGATAGTATGCGGTTTTCCGGATTTTGCTATAAGTAACGAGATATTGTAAGATGCCCGCAAACCATCATCATTTCTTTGTGACGTCGAAGCGAACATTCTGTCCAGTGTAGGTCTCTTCTGAAATTTATCTTTGAGTGTTTGAAAGTATTTCAAATCTTTCTCTGTTTTATCAGGGTGACATCTTCTCAGATGATCTTGCAGTTTAGATGGTTTCACAGAGTCATTGCCCAAAACTTTGTTGCATAAAAGGCACATAGGCGATTATTTGTCCGGCAATGATGGAATGAAGCCAAATTTCAAATAATCAACGCTGTACTGTCTTCATTTCTTTTTAGATTCAGACATGGCATCAGTCATCTGTGGGCAAAATTAAATTATTTAAATAAGACAGAAAATCCAGCAGATGTATATTAAAAATATTTTTTGATTTTTCCGAAAACATTCCATAATTCGAACATCTTGCAACAATTAGCTCGAATTACGGAGATTGCACTGTAATTATATTACCGATTGCTAAAACTTTCAAAAAGAAACTATTGACGAGTACTCGTGTAATTTTGCATGACTGAATATTTAACTACTAATAACTAAAGTCATGATTGGGGTAATTTATCTATCTTTGCTAACTACGAGTACAAAACTAAAATTTAATAAACAATAATGTACTTACTTTTCTCCAGCACTCTAAAACAAAATAATATTGACTCACTATAATTTGTGTGATATACTATCTGTAGACCCCTTGCAGGTTGTCATAGACCCCTAGGGTTCGATATAGACCACTTTGGGAATCAATGGTTCATCCAATTTAAAAACGACATAGTTGCTTTGATGGCGGTACAAGAACGGCCGGTAACTAGTATAATTAATAAAGCAGCATATTCTCTATAAAGCTTTGCCGTCATATACTTGAATTTCTTTTTATTTCTCACCATCAATTGCCCAGTTTTGGAATTACTCTACCTATGTATGGATAGACATATTTTGATCGCCCTTCACGATTCGGATGAAACTCTTATTGTTACATGACAGGATTTTTGTAAATAACAAGAAAACATATATGTTACAATTGTTCATGTTTCATCTGCATGTTGTCTTGGTCGCTCTGGAGAAAACCATTGAATGTTTCCTTGACGGACATTCTCAAACAAACTGGGTCACATTCTATAGAGGGACTGGAAAGGCAAGAACTATTAAATTTTATAATGTAGCAGACTTCTCCACTTCCCTTTTTGAACTGAAGCCCTAATAATACTGTAATTTACTTTTGTAAGCTTATTTCAATACAGTGATGTAAAACCCTGTCATGTTTCATCTGATAATTAAAGCTCAGGAACTGACAAGGAGCGTCTGGAAACACCAAAAAGGTAAGTAAAAGCTTGATATTACTTGTCACGGTATTTAAGGTACTATCAATTGAGTAATAATACATAACACATAAGAAAAAGTAACGTCAAGTAGGTTGACTCTGCACGTCTCACGCGGCACACTAAGCAGTTTCTACATGATCATTTTCGGCACAAGCTACTTCTCTAAAACAGTTAATCACAGACATGTATCACAAAGAAATTAAATGAATCTAGTCACGCAAGCCCCATACTGCGATGTGACCACACCTGCTACGACTATACCTAAGCAGCCGTCTCCCTCCCACTCCCAATTTTTCACCACTCAAAGAATTTTTAAAAATGATCAAGAGCCTGAAACGGATAAAAACGTAACCACTTTGTGTAAAAAAATTTATCAAAATCCGAGTGGTACCTCCCAAGCAAGGATTAGCGAGTAGACCGACAGACAGAAATGAGTGACACCAATTTTCGTGACGTCTTATAACATCCAAAAAACAGTATCTTATTTTCGAAATTCTTCATTGTTACAAAACCTCCTTGCCAGTAGGCGGAGTAGTAAAAAGGTCAATGCTCCACATGGACATTCGACATCCAAGTTCTTAACACTGAGGTAAATAAAGTATTCTGTTGGGGTTATGGAAACTGGAAATATAAAAGGCAATAGACATTAGACAATCGACTGTAATAAATTATTTATCTATGACGAGCGAGTAGAAGAATATGTATGCGAAAATAAAAAGGATACATTTAAACTCGAATAATAATACCATTTATCAAACTCTCTACGGTATGCAAAATTGACTGCCGTCGGTTTACTCGTCCAAAATTTTACTAGACCAATATTTTTCTAAAAACTTTTACCTACAATTCAGGCCATAATTTACATAGCACAACACACTTATTCTTGTATTTCCATCCATCTTTCGCGATACATCTCGCAATTGCCGTCATAAGCGTAGTAACAGGTTCCTCCTAAGCAAGCCAGGCTCATATTCATTGTCGTACTTTCTTTAAAATTGTCTGATGTAATTATGTCAAAGACTCATCCCTGATTGTTTTTTAACAGCCACTGACTTGCCTACCCCAACACTTCTCTCGTACTCTGTAGTCAATGACGGAGAAGGCTAGCAGACCACACCTGAAGACTGGGCCATTGTAGTATCGCTAGCATAGAGATGGGCTTATTTCGAAAAGTGAAGGATTAGCCCAGGGATTGAACTCTATTTGGAAGCTAGTTTGTTATGGAGGTTATGTGAATAATTTATTTTCTCGTAGAGTTATAAATTATTTTCGCGATCCTCCTCCCCATACCAATTTCGAAAGAATATGACTAACAGCTGATAACTCAAGATAATGGAAATCAAAGTTATCACAAAAGTTGGCATTTTATCAGAATTGTAGAACCTAGAATTTTGAAAAATCATTAATGCCTCGTTTGATCTACATTTTTCTTTACAACCGCTTTCTGAGGTCAATTTGTTCCACATAATATAAAAGCGAACTAATTAAAAAATACTTATCGTTCTTTAATAAGTTACAAGTTACAAAGATATACAGGGTGCGGCAGAGAGGATAGACGGTTTTAAAAAAATCATAAAATAGTTAATTTTTACTCGAAAACAAATTTATTGATGGAATCAGGTTCACGAGGAAATAGCATTTGAGAGAGTCAAGTGTGAAAAATCACATCAGGCATGTGGTGGCTGAAATCGTTGATGCAGTGCTGGAGGCATTCTTGGAAGTTCGCGTAGACTCCAACATCGCTCTCTCAACTTGGGCGACTTCCACGCGAATTTCGCCCTTCAATTCGTCCACAGTTCGGGGCTTGTTCGCGTATACTCTAGCCTTGAGGTGTCCCCATAAGAAAAAATCGCATATGGATAAATCTGGGGACCGAGGAGGCCAATGAACATCGCCAAACCTGGAAATAAGGCGACCATGGAAGAGAGGTCGAATAACGTCCATGGATGCTCGGGCCGTGTGGGCGGTCGCCCCATCCTGCTGGAACCACGCACGTCGGAGTGGAACACGTCGCCGTCGTAATTCAGGGAGAAAGAAGTTGGTGATCATGTTGACGTACCACTCTGAGTTCACGGTAACATCACGACCATTACCGTCTTCGAAGAAGTAAGGGCCAATGATGCAAGTTTGCGATACAGCGCACCAAACCGTTAGTTTTGGGCTGTGCAGCGGTCTTTCGCGTAACTGTTGCGGATTTTCATTAGCCCAATAACGACAATTCTGCTGGTTAACCATGCTGTTTAGGTAAAAGTGGGCTTCGTCCCTCATAAACAAAATGAGGTTCTCATTTTGATCGATCAGTGCTTCCATCTCACGTGCGAAGTTCATTCGTTGTGCATAATCTCCGGGCTGTAAGTGTTGCACAATGGCCAATTTGTAAAAGTGAAAGCGGAGATCCATATGCAAAATTCGCCTCACCGAACGATCACTAAGGCGAAGTGCAGCAGCATGTTTCCGGGCAGATCGAGTCGGACTGCGAAGAAAGACCTGTCGAACGCGTTCAACATTTTCAGGAGAACTGTTCGCGGCGTTTCTTCTGTTGATCAGTTCACCACGCCTGCGAAGTGATTCAAGCGAACGAAGGATGGTGTTTCGAGAGGGAACAGGTCTATTCCAAAGAATGTTGAAGTGGCGACGAAACTCACGCTGTACGACGATGACTGACTCATTATTTCGGACGAAACAATCATAGGCGAAAACGCGGTGCTCCACCGGCCAAGGCTCCATAACTGGTAAAATAATGCTAGGATCTCACGAGTCAAACGGCACCCTTCCCACCTCTCTCGTAGACGGAGGCGGAGAGTACTACCCATCCCAAAAACGTCCGTCCTCTCTGCCGCACCCTGTAGTATACAATAGTACTAGTCAGCCCTACTGAGCGAGGGACGTAGAAAATGCTTGTTCCGGAAGTTGTTATATCCAGTATACAACTTCTTCCCGTCCAAGTGATTGTGCACGCGTTAAGGAATACCTCAGTACCGATTGCCGGGTGGCGGTACAAGTCCGCCAACGGGCCACTCTAGGTCTATTTAACATCACTAACACGTAAAAAGAAGGTGGTAGACAAGGACCAGTCGACCGAGGCAGTACCACCCGCTAGCTTTACCCAGGGTGTCTTATAAATGTCCGCATGTTTCCACACCTAAGCTATGCAGTCGGTTATCTACCAAAACAAAGAAACTAATGATGATGGATCCCTCGAGCACTAAAAACTCCGGACGTAAACTCACTCCACTCTGGGAATGTCCGGGTGGAGGGTGGGCTCGAGGGAACAACATCGAAGATAAAATTTGTTTTTCGAACATCTGCGGGATCAACAGCAACATTGATGCTGTTCATCACTACCTGCAATCCAATCGTCCCGCCGTGCTTTTCTTGGCGGAGACAAAAATCTCAGAGACTGCACCGATTAACCATCTCAACTTCTCAAACTACGAGGTGCACTCCAATCTGAGAAAGAACGGGGGAGTTGTGGCTTTTGTCCGCAGCAGTCTTTCCTGCTCCAGGGATCTTTCTTTGGAATCAGACCGGAAGGACATTCTGTGGCTTCGCTTCAACTCCAAAACATCACCCAAATTTATTTGCTGCCTTTATCGCTCTCCCTCGAACCATAACTGGGATGACCTACTCGAATACCTCGCCGTCCAGATCGACTTCCTGAACATCAATCACCCCGCTTCAGAGGTAGTTCTTCTCGGTGATTTCAATGCCCATAATGAGCTTTGGTTGGGCTCAAATAAGACCGATGCAGCAGGTCGTGCAGTCGAAGCGTTCGCTCTTACTCAAGGGCTGACCCAGCTGGTGACGAGCCCTACTTTTTTCCCCCGCGTCTCGTCACACGCCAGTAGCCTGCTGGATCTCTTTCTGACCACTCATCCTGCCCCT